TGGTCATTATTTGTTGAATAGCAAATTATTTTAAAAGTGCTAATCAAAAATGAATGGTTGTTGGATTCACAGGAACAGCGTTCCATTAATGAGTTGCCTTTCTGTCGTGTTTTTTGAGTTTTACTCTGGGGTTTGAAATTTTCTAGAAACAGGACTACATGCACATTATTAAAAAAAAAACTTTTTCTGAGTATTCTTTAAGATACAATATTTTTTTAAAATTGTTATTTTGAAATAGAGCAAGTAGGAAAAATTATTAGCTTATGAGGTAAAGATCATGCCACCATTACTTTTTAACCATTATGCAGAAAGACAACAAGAGACTACCTACTCTCTTACTCTGTGTACAGAAAGCCATTTTTATGGATAATTTTGTATGTAAGCAAGCATATGAACTTTTATAAATATTGTTTCTAGCACAATTCTATATTTGTGAATTAATTTATAAAGTGAACCAGGGCAGAAAGAAAAAAATCTTGGGAAAGTAAACTACATGCTAACAAGGATAACAAGAAATAAACTCTAGGGGCTGGGRATGTGGCTCAAGCGGTAGCKCGCTCGCCTGGCATGCGTGAGGCCCAGGTTCGATCCTCAGCACCACATACAAACAAAGATGTTGTGTCTGCCGAAAACTAAAAAAATAAGTAAGTACTTTTAAAAAATTTTTAAAAAAAGAAATAAACTCTAAGTTGGATGGGGGAAAAACTGAACAAACTACAAAGGATCCAGCTATCCCACTACTGGCTATATACCCAAAGAATATGAAATCTGTATGCTGAAAAGATATCTGAATTCCCATGTTCATTTCAGCATTATTCACAATAGTCAACATATGAAATCAATTTAATTGTCTATCAATGGTTGAATGGATAAGGAAATGTGGTTCTGATACAGAGTAGAATACTATTTAGCCTTAAAAAAAAAAAAAGGAAATCTTGCCTTTGGGAACAATGTGAATGAACCCGGAAGACATTATGTTATGTGAAATAAGCCCATCCCTGAAAGATGCATGCTAAATGATCTCACTAACACATGGAATCTAAAAAATTCAAACTCACAGACAGAGAGTAAAATACTAGTTACCAGAATCTGGGTGAGAGAGGGTGGTTATTGGTGAGATGTAGGTCAAAGGACATAAAATCCCAGTTAGACCAAAGGAATAAGTTCAAGAGATTTATGATATGCATCATAATGACTATAGTTAACAACTATGTAGTGTATTCTGGAAATTGCTGAGAGTAGATTTTAAATATTCATACCACAAAAAAATTATGTGTGAGGTAATACATATGGTAGTTAGCTTCATTTATCCATTCCACAATGTATACATATTTCAAAATATTTTGTATATGATACTTTTAAATTTTTGTTATAAAAATAAGTTTTTTAAAATAATAGTGTTCAGTGTCAGAATCAGGGTGATACAGTTTCCAAGGTCAGGGTGAGGATAAGAATTAGAATCAAGGTTAAAATGAGCTTTGTGGTCAGAATCAGAGTTTGTGGTCAGGGTAAGTCAGAGTTAAGGTCAGATTAGGACCAGGACTGTAACATAGTGAGGTACAAGAGTATAAAAAACAGAGTTAGGGTCAGTTAAGTCAGAATAAGGAGAAGGGTAAGAACCAGGATAAGAGTCACAGCCAGGGTCATAGTCTGGTGGATTTTCTTTGGAAGGGTCAGTGTTAAAGTTAAAGTTAGAATTATGTTCAGTGTAAGGGACATCCATGAAAGTGAGTGAGCATATGAGTTGGTATCAGGGTCAGGTTGAGGGCCTGAGTGAAAGGTAAGTGTGTTCATCAGATTTTTGTCACTGTGACTAAAACAAGAACAACTTAGAGGAGGAAAAGTGTATTTGGACTTGCAGTTTCAGAGGGTCTCCATCCATGTTTGGCTGGAAGGAAGTGGCAGAGGAAAGCTTCCAGCTCATAGCAGCCAGAAAGCAGAGAGAGAGAGAGAGAGAGAGAGAGAGAGAGAGAGAGAGAGAGAGAGAGAAAATCAGGGACAAAATATAATCCCCAAGGCTATGTCCCCAATGGCCTACTTTCTCCAGCCACATCCCACTGACCTACAATTACAATCCCAGTAACTCATTTAAATTATTAATCGACAAGTGGTTTAATCTTCTGATGATATTACAGACATTCCTACATTTCCTAACATATGAGCTTTTCAGGGGACACCTTATATCCAAATCATAACAGTAACTGGGTGAGAGGGAGAGTCAGGGAAGTATCAGGGTGTGGGTCAGGTTCATGATAAAGTTCAAATCACCAACAAGGTGAATGAAGCTGATGTTCGGGTTTATGGTGTTGCTATGTTGAGCATAAGATTCATGATCAGAGTCAGGTTCTGGAATCAAGATGAGTTATTTGCAGTGTCCTTGCTAGGGTGAGGTTCTGGGTCATGCTCATGGACCAAAGGTCAAGGTAATATTCAGGTAGGTGTCAGGATCACAGTCAGGATTAAAGTTAGGGTCTAGTTCATCATGAGGAGCAGTGTGAGGTTGAAAACAATGTCTGTCATGTTCAGGATCATTGAGGGTAAGGTGTCTATCYTGTTCAGGGTTAAGAGCAGGTAGGAAGCAGGGTGTGAGAGTTGAAGGAGAATTAAAAGTGAGTTCAAGTTCAGGGTCAGCCCTAAAGTGAGAATCAACATCAAAATAAGAATAAAGAAGGGTTATGGTTATAATAATTCACCTATTATTTACAATATTATTTCTAGAATTGATTCAGGCACTGCTGTCAAACAAAATAAGCATTATCCTTTTTGCTATTTCTGGTTAATTTTTCGGAAATAATAATGGATTGAGGGTATTCACTGCTTCAGTAACTTTATTTTTATTCTCATGGATCATCAGATCCTGATGATTCATACCACCATTTCTGAAAAGTCAAAATTTTCCAAATTTTAATTCTAAATAGACTTCTAAATAGACAAATAATATGAATGCTAGAATATGCAGAGTCATCAAAAGGTTTTCTGTCAAAAAAGAAACTTTTTTGCAATTTCTCCAATTCACACAGCTTACAAACGGTTGAAATGGAGTTAGATGTTGAATTTTCCACCCGCTGTAAGAATCTTTTGTACCAAACCTTATACTTATGTCACTATATGTCACTATAAGAAATATAAAATACAAAATTTCATTCCCAAGCAAAATATTTTCAAATAATAATTTTTTAAAAAAGCATTTCTTACCACATGCCTGTTAATTGGTCATCTTTCTTTGAACACTTGAGGAATGTCATCTAAATAGTTCCCAAGGTTAGATAGTTCTAAATTTAAGAGCATCTTTGCGAATTGAACCAAAGTAGCTTCCAACTATTCCTTTCAGCTACACTGCACACAGCAACAGTGTAACTCCAATAACTTTTTTCATGTAGTTTCTCCATCACTTTCTTCCACTCATGCACACTAGTCCAAAGGAGAGGATGTTGACTACTGTCCCAGTGAGTGAGCACCAGGTCCCAGTTAACAGACTGAGATTTTTCTGAGGGGTACAGAAGATAGGCACTGGCCCCTGCCTAGGGCACCGGCYCCACCTCAGAGGTGCTGGCAGCCTCTTTCCATTGGAGGCGAGCATTTTCTGGCAGAGTCTGAGGCCCCCACACATCCACACTTTGGAAGAATGGCTAGGGCCACTGAACTGAGGTCTGGTTCAGGGTAAACCAAACTGCAAAGGAGAAGAAAAAAAAAGAGAGATGGGGGTGCACAGATCCGAGAAAGCCTGCTAGTGACAGGAACTGGGGAACGACGCCTCAGCCCTGAAACTTTCCCCACCCAAGAAGAAACACAGAAAAGCTCTAGGCGGCGCCAAGCGGGATCTGATTGACGTGACCCGCCTCCTCGCCCCGCCCCTCTGCCCCGCGCAGTCCCTAAGGCCTCGGGGCTTTCAGACGAGTTAGCGCTGCGATCCAAAACCTTCATTTCGTATTCGTTTTGTTTTTATTCTTTTTAATTATACACAACATTAGGATTCATTTTGACATAATAATAAAAGCATGGAGTATAATTTGTTCTAATGCMGTCCCCAGTACTTCCCAATTCCCTTTCCCTCCTATCCTCCCTCCCCCTTCCCTTCCCTGTACCTTACTGATCTATTTACTTATAGTTTTGTGACTTTTTAAAAATATTTATTTATTTGTTTGTTATTGGCAGACACAACATCTTTGTTGGTATGTGGTGCTGAGGATCGAACCCGGGCCGCACGCATGCCAGGCGAGCGCGCTACCGCTGGAGCCACATCCCCAGCCCCTGTGACTTTTTTTTTTTTTTTTTTTCATTTCGTTTTTCAAAAGTAATGACCCTGACCCAATTGTGGTTTCACCCCAGAGCTCTAATAGGAGTCAGGAGGTCTGAGAGAAAAGAGGAAAGTGACAGAGACGGCTCAAGCAGTGGGAAAGGCTGGCTTCTGATTTTTCCCAGTCCTGGGATCTGGGTCTGAAGGATGGTGGAGCCAAAGGGTAAAGATTTGGCCATCTGAAATATACCAGACRTATTGAATGGTTCCCAATATCCTTTCTAACTCTGAATTCCTGAGATATTTCGGGGAGTACCCTCAAAGGTATTCTGTAGTAGCCTTGGAATCAGAAAATCCTAGAATATTGTTCAAGTAGGAGCTAAGGGCAGGTGATTGAATAATCGTGGCAGTAAACCTGGCTCTGGTTGAACCAAGGAGACTTGCAACAGCTTTCTGCTAGAGTAACATATCACTGGACCATAATTTCTGGAAGGCTTTTATCTCCCTTTTTCTACCACCCACTTCATCCCAGCACTTTCACTTTAGTCCCTGCCTTCCTGGCCCTTAGTTCAGCCTATTTTAGTACTGCCCAGTGGTTACTTAAACCTGCTAACCTCTATTACTAAATTAAGTCTCCAAGATCATATCTAAGAAGGATTGAAGAAAAAGAAACCAACTGCCCTCATAAGCCAGGGCCAGACAATGGAAAAAGAGCCAGGAAGTCCAGTAAAAGCAGTACTGGTATTTATTGGGGTATCATGAAGAAGCACATCCTGAGTACATGATCTACAAAGCCAGAATTTAAGGGCTTCTTGGAGATGAAGGCCTGGATCTCTGGGCTAGAAGGAAGGAAGCTTATGGTTTGGGTGCTCATGGGATTTCAGGAAGTCCTTATATTTAACCAGAAAAGATTTTGCCAGAATGTCCAACTGTTGCTGGAGTTCCTGCAGAGCCCCAACTTGTTCTTGCTGCTCCCCTTTCATATGCTGCTTGTAATAGCTGACATAGAAGTTCACCCAATCATCCACCACAGTCACCATGTCTTCTTCAGAAATAAGAGGATCATTAAAGACCTGGGGAAAGTAGAGAGAGAGTTAGCAAGGAAGAATGTGGTCAGCAATGTGATTCAGGAATACCAGAACAGTCTCACAAACTCTCACATCTCTTTTCTCTGATTTATATTCCATATCTTTAGTTCATTCCATTAACCACCATCACCCTCAAGTTTCAAATTATTCTCCCTTCTCTGTCCTCACCCCAACACACGTACTTCAGGCCTGTCCTTTGAAACAGTGCCTGGGCTTACCTGCTGATTCAGCAGAACATTAAATTCCTTCATTCCCGTAGAAATGAGATCCTTATTAGACTGAAGATGGGCCATCTGCCTGTATAGAGAAAGAGGTAGAATTTAAATATCCCTTTCCCTCACCCTTGGTTATTTCCCTCAGTTCTCTCACTGCCTTTAAAGGTCCCTGGTGCTTTGCAGGTACACCTTCTTTCCAAAACTTTTCAAATCTTGCTCTGCTCTGAAGTCACATTTTTCCCAAGTTGGACTCACCTTCAAGTCTAACAGAGTCCCTATATCCTTTRTGCTGAGCTAGATGCAGGCACGAAGTCAAGTGTTCACTTCAGAAGAAAACCGCCACATATCTAGGTTCTGAGGGAGGGTGATAGGTCAGCCTAGGGTGGAGAAGGAGGGTGAGGCTTCCCTGAAGTTAGAGAGATAGACAGCCCAAGAAAAATAGATAAACGAAGAGACCCAAAAATTGCAAAAACTAAACCAGGAACATATGTTKGCCCTCTGCCCCTCAACCCAATATCCAATATCCCATCCAAGTACTCAAGAAACTAACATTAACTGAGCACTTGTTATGTGACAAGCACCTTTACATCATCAACACAGTGTGAGGGCAATCCTTCTCCCCATCTATAGATGACATACTAATAACAGCTACATTACATTTATTCATTTGTGCCAGGCACTATTTCAAACATGTACTATTTATCTTTATTTTGAGGATCCTTTTAGACATATTTTGCAGATGAGCCATCCATAAGATGTGGATCAGGATATGTTCCACAAAAATGGAGATGTATTTATCTTGTTCTCAGATATATCATCAAGTATTCAATAAAGCAGAAATACTTTTTCTTATTTTTAAATTTTTTCCTAATGTTTTCCATTCTAACAGATTATTTTCAAATTTCAAAATCACTACATACTAATCAAAATAATCAAAGAAATACAAAAGTGTACACTGAAATTTTTGATCATTTTGCTGTCCACACAGAAGTAACCAGCATTAAGGATGTATGTATTTCCTGTTGTAGTTTTTGCCACTCAAACACCAACATTCAGGGGCTGCTGTTGTAGCTTAGTGGTAGAGTGCTTGCCTAGCATGTGTGAGGCACTGGGTTCAATCCTCAGCACCACATAAAAACTAATAAATAAATAAATGCATAAATATTTCTTAAAAAACAACATTCATAGACACTTATATATTCATAGTGACTTGTTAATTTGCTTTTTGATTACAGTATTTTCTTAATAAACATTTAACAATATTGACTTCTTTTTGGTGTACAGTTTATTAATTTTAAGACTTATATAGAGTCACATCACTGTCACCACGATAAGGATATAGAACATTTCCATCACCCAAAAAAACTTCTTTGTGATACTCCTTCACTTTGTAGTCACCTCCATTCCACTCCTGAACCTGGCAATAACTAAACATCCTCCATCACTATCCTCCATCACTACAGTTCAGTCTTTTTAAAGATGTCATGTCAATGGAATCAATCATAAAAAATGCATAACCTTTGAGACCCACTTCTTTCTCCTAGCATAATGACTTTGAGGTTCATCCAAATTGTTACAAGTATCTRTAAGTTGTTCTTTTTCATTGCTGAGTGTACGTTGTATGGATGCACCACAATTTATTTATTCAGCCACTGAAGGACATCTCAATTGTTTGCAGTTTTGGCAAATATGAATAGAAATTCTATAAACATTTGTGTACAAGTTTTTGTGTGAATATGTTTTCATTTATCTAGAGCAGAAAATATGTTTACCACTAGGAGGAATAGTTACACTACAACTTAACAAAATACATATATACAGAAACAATAACAAACTCTGACAGTTCAATAATAAAACAAATAACCCAATCTTTCAAATAGTCAAAATATTAGAACACATGTCATAAAGAAAATATACAAAAAGATAATAATCAAATGAAAAAGATGTTCAGTATCATTACTCATCAGGAAAATGCAAATTAAAGCCACAATGTGTTATCACTTCATGCCCCTTTCAATGACTAAAATTAAAAAGACTGGCTAAGTGTTGGTGAGGTTGTGGAACAATTTAGAATTATCATACATTACTGTTGGGAGTGTAAAATGGTACTATCACTTTGAAAAACAGCATACAGCAAAACCACGTGCCTTCTGGTATAGTTCATTAATTTCAACACACATATTAATTCACATAATTACTACCATAATAAGATACAGAGCATTTCCATCACTCCCTCCAAAAAAAAAAAACCCTCCTTTGTGTTACTCTTTTATAGCTACCACCATTCCCATTTGGCAATTTCCTTTAAAAAGTTCACTTACCACATGACCCAGCAATACCCTCATAGGTATTTTATCCATGATAAATGAATATACATGTCTACAAAATTCTTAAATGCAAATGCAGGTGTTCATAGCACCTTTATTCATCATTGACCTAAATTGGACACAATCTAAATATTCACAAACCAAAGAATGGCTATACAAATTGCAGTATATTCATGCAATTTTTTAAAAGAATAGACTAATGTTTGATAATATGATAATATGAATGAATCTCATAAACATGCTGACCAAAGATGACAACTATAAAACTACATATAGCACACTATAATTCTATTTGTATGCAGTTCTAGAATAGGCAATATTAATCTGTAATGGAAAGAAAGCAAATTTGGTTACGTGGAGTCAGAATAAAGTGTGAGAATTAAAATGCAGAAGTGGCTGATTGCCCTTTTTACACACACACACACACAAACATCTTGATTATGACAAGCAACTTCATATACTTTTACAAGGAGTATAAATTGGTAAAACTTTTTAAAGGATAATTTTACAATTCTTTGAATTAAAATACATATGTGTTTCAACCCAATGATTCTGCTTTGGATTCTACCTTGGACTCTACTTTTATAACACATAGATATGCTTGTACAAGGAATTTGCCATCCCAGTTTGTACAGATGAAAAGGTAGAAATAATATAAAATTTTATCAATAGAGAGAATCTTGAAAGAAACTATGGCATGATGTGGAGCTAATAAAATAGATGAAAGCCAGACAAAGGCACATGCCTGTGATCCCAGTGACTTGGAAGGATGAGGCAGGAGGATTGCAAGTTCGAGACCAGACTCAGCAAATTATTAAGGCCCTAAGCAACTTATAGAGACCCTGTCCCAAAACAAAAAGGGCTGGGGGTGTGGTTTAGTGATTAAGTGTTCTTGAGGTCAATTCCCCTGTCCCCCAAAAAATAAAAAATAAAATAAAAAAGTGTAGATACATATGTGCTAATATGAAATATCTTTAAGACAATGTTAAATGAACTATAGTTTGAATAAATTAAACCAGGCCAGGATACTGGAGTAGGAATTAATTTCAAAACTATGTGTATAATGATAGACTGTTAACTTCTAGAGAGGGACTGTTATTGGCTGGGAAAATGGAAAGAGGAATTCTTGCAAGGGAGAATTTGACCTTACCTCTCAGTATTATTTGAATTATTTTATAGCAAAAAAATTATCTGTTTTTTTAGGGGCTGGGTTTGTGGCTCAGTGGTAGAGCACTTGCTTAGCATGTGTGAGGCACTGGGTTCAATCCTCAGCAGCACATATAAATAAATTAATAAAACAAAGGTCCATCAACATCTAAAAAAATCTTTAAATTTTTTTTAATTCTTAAAATTAATGTAATTTAAGAAAGTAAAGGAGGGTATTTTAAAAATTGTTCATTTCAGGTTTGAATCCTGCTTCATTTCCTAGCAGATTAATAGCTGTTCACTAAATATTTGTTGAATGAATAAATGAATGGTTTTGCCACTTTTCAGCTCTGTGATGTTGATGAATTCACTTTAAATATATGTGTCAGATTTTATTCTGTAAAGGAAGAATAAAATAATAATATGTCTATTTTATAAGAATTATTGGAAAAAAATTCATTCATTCATTCCACAAGTAGATATTTGGCATCTACCTTGTGCCAGGCACTGATATGAGACAACAAAATATACTGACACCAAAGATAAAGTTCCTGTCTTCTTGGAGCTTACCTCTAGTTGGGGACTTGAAGGAATGAATTATAAGGGGCAAACTGTGAGAGATAAGGCAGGACCCAATCTACAAAGCTTTATGGGCCATCCCAAGAAGTTTGGGTTTATTTTCAAATGTGAAGAAAAGTCATTGAAGAGCTTCAATACCAAAATCTCCTTCCATAAAAATAATGAAAAGCCACTGAAAGATTTTAAGCAAGGGAATTATAAGTTATGAGGTCTTTGGAATATATATATATATATATATATATATATATATATATATAGGCAGGAGTAGAATTGGGGAGATCAATGAGAGTAAAACCAATAATATGAGGAGTTTGGACTATTCTGCCCAGGGCATAATATACTACTTGGTGCCAGGAGTTAGGGGCAGGCTACCAAAAGGTAAAGGAAGTGAAATTATTTCTTTTTCAAGTCACTAATCTGCACCCTTGGGTCAGGGGAGGTATATGATAAGTCCTTGTCCTCAAAGACTTAAAGTCCACCTGGGACATGACAGAGATAACTAATAAAATGAAATACAAAGTGGCTCAAGGCAGCATTTTAAGGGCCAAACAGGTATTACAATGAATAAGGACTGCCATGGTCTTTGAGCAGGGATAGGTCAATGTGACATTGATAGTCAGTAAAGCTGAAGAAATCCTATAAATAGTGCGACCATATCAGTTAACTCAGGACAGCTCCACTTTAGACCTGTTATATCAACATAATTACTAATAGTAATTCTTTGATGACACTCTCAAAAGTCCTGGTTTAGACAATAAATTATACAATGAAACTAATTATGAATGTCACTTGGCCTGCCTCACATGAAGCTAAGGGTCTCACATTGAAACACTTAAACAATGGCTAATGCTTAAATAGTATGTACTTTGTGCCATATACAGTTCAAGAGCTTTACACAAATGTGACTCACTTAATCCTCATCTTAACCATATGTTGTAAGCACTAATATTGTTCCCATGTAGAAATGAAGAAACTAAAGAGCAGAAAATGAGTAACTTGTCTAAGATCTCACAGGTACAACCATAGTGGAACAGACCCTGGATTCAAGGTAAGGCCTTTGGATGGAATTCATTCACAGAAGTTGGTCTCAGAGTTAGGTACACTCACAGAAATTAATATTTAAAAATTAATGAAGTATTTACAACCTTTCAATTTTTCACCAGGACACTCAATTTTAAAAAAAAATTAAATACTTGGGTTTATCTCAGCCTCAGAGAGACTCTATGTAGGTGTCAGATAAGGTGAGATGTGGTAGAAAGGTTTCCATGAGAAGGTGGTAGTTTGGGAGAACCAGAAGTTTTAGGGAGAGAATTTTCAACTGGGACCAAACTGGATTGAGGGGAGTCCAAGAATGTCAGGTTAAGGAACCAGGATATTTTATTTTCTGACTTAAAACAAAGAGAATGCTCCTGGCAAATTTCTACTTCTTGGAGAAGACACTGCATTAGAAGATAAAAAAGGGAGCATATAATATGAGTTGGAAGGGAAAGAAACATTCTGTCTTTGGACTTTCCTCCCAATTTCATGGACCTTCTCCCCAAATGAACACACAAAAACTTCCTGTTTATCTTGTTATCTGACACTATTGTTGCAATCCCTTGATATTTTTCATCCCTTCAACTCCTTAGGAGGCTTTCAGAAATAATATTCTCCTAGTCTTAGGGATGTCTGAAGGGCAGAGAATTTCTAGTCAAGTCTAGGTGTTACTGAAGCAAGTTCATCTACTCACTTGAAAAGTCCCTCTAAAAGACTAATGACTTGAAGACAAATTATTGGGACAATGAAAGAGATTTATTTGGAAATCCAGCAAACCCAAGAGAATGGGAGGCTATCTCTAACCAAGACCATCTTACGGAACTCAAGTATGCAAAGAGGCTTTCTAGGGAAGAAAACCAAGGCAAGGGAAGCATTGTTCAAGAAAAACTCATGACTAAAGACTTCTAGGTGCTGCTCCAGTGGCCTGGAACCCAACATTATCTTAGTTACTCTTACCTTGTTGTCTTAAGTCTCAAAGACAAAGAGAAAGATTAGGTAAATTTAGATAAAATCAATCTTGTATTATTGTTCCAGATAAAACATTTCTTAAGTGATTAATATGTCAACATGCAGAGTTGAGCAGAAACATTCTAATCTAAAAGTTAAGGTAGCAAGGAGATATTCAGTATGAAGGCAGAGAAGCCAAGCCTTTTCATCCTATTTTAGTTGCCAGTCGGATATCTGCAGGCCTAAGTAAAAAGTCAATGCCTTCAGCAAAAGCAGCCTCAAGGCCCTGAAGAATAACCTAGGCAAAACTGTTCATCATAACCAACAGGTCTAAAAGTGTTATCTACAGCAAAGTTAGTGGGAGACTAATTATATATTGCTCAGCTACTGTGACGTCCAAATTTTTTTATTTTTAAGAACAATTAAAAGCAAGTAAAGCTAAAGGGCTTATTTAGGTTTTCCCTGAGTTACACAGGGACACCAGAAGAGAGTAGGGCAACTGAGTGGCTCAATAGGGCCTCAGGGATCATCTTGTGAAATTTCTTCTCTTCATGCATTCATTCATTCATTCATAAGTATCTTTTAGCATCTACTGTGAGTTAGGTAGAACTGACAACGAGAGAGAGAGAGAGAATATTGTCCTTACCCTCAGAGAGAGAGAGAGAGAGAGAGAGAATATTGTCCTTACCCTCATAGCAAAGGAGATCAATTGGAAGGGATTTGAATCTGAAGCCTGTACATCGTTCAAGATGCAGAGAGAGAGAGAGACACTGATTAACCCAAAGCCACACAGCTAAAAATTGTGCAGCCCTACAAAGTCTAACGATTAAAACCGTTTCCCTAGAGATAACTTCTTTCCTTTTCCCCATAAGTGAAAGTTCAGGTCACAAAGAATTAAAATGTCTTTCAAGGCCAAAAGCCCCCATTGCTTCTGTGTCCAAATACAATTTGCTACCTCGCCTCCGGCACTCCCCCCCCCCAAAAAAAAAAAAAAAAATCCGGATCAATCCTGCAGTATTCAAGTAGGGTTGCAGAAGCCCGCTGCCAATTAGCGAAAGAATGTTGCCCCTCCGCAGCCGCCGTAGCCGAGCCGGAAGTGTAGCCTGGCCGGTCTTCTAGCGAGATTCCAACCAAGAGGGTAGAGATGGCTGACGTGGCGAGTCTTGAAACCCCACTGTGCTCGGAACAGTTTGGCTCCGGAGCTGCACGGGGCTGCCGCGCCGCCCCAGACGGCAGCCTGCAATGGGAAGCGGAGGAAAGGCGCTGGTGGAGGTTCCCCGCCTTCGCGGTGAAACCCACAGGACGAGAAGGGGACGGAGAGGGGTCTCCTGGGCCCGCTTTACTCCCTCTGTCGGGTCTGCAGGCAGTTTTCCTGCCTCAAGGCTTCCCCGATAGCGTCAGCCCCGATTATCTGCCTTACCAGATATGGGACTCCGTGCAGGTCAGCCCAGCCGTCCGGGGCAGATGTTGGCATGTGACTGGAGGTTAGGGAACGGAGCAGGCCACCTCCCTGCTCCTTTATAAACGGGAGACTGGCCGAGCCTTGGAGCACATCTGTAATCCCAGCAGCTCTGGACGCTGAGACTAGAGGATCACGAGTTGAAGCCAGCCTCAGCAATTTAGGGAGCCCTAAGCAACTTAGCGAGCCCATGTCTCTAATAAAATATAAAAAAGGACTGACGATGTGGCTCATTGGTTAAGCCTGGGTTCAATTCCTGATTCCAATAGATAAATAAACGCGAGACTGGATCCCAGATCGTAACTATGACATGTATTAGGCCATACACCAAGAAGAATCGATAATAGAACGTAGACCGCCTTGCTCCTGCGATCACTTCTCACTCCCCTTCTTTTCTTCCTCAGGCCTTTGCTTCCAGCCTGTCCGGCTCCCTGGCCACGCATGCAGTCTTGCTGGGCATAGGTGTGGGGAACGCAAAAGCCTCTGTTTCAGCTGCCACGGCCACCTGGCTTGTGAAAGGTGAGCAGGACCCCTGGAGCCTCACCTGTTGCTCTCAGCCATGCCTTTTCTTTGGCCTCCTTTTCCTCCACTGCAAAACCAGCCCTGCTTTCCCACTTGATCAGTGTTTGGACCTCCAACTCTGGGCTCTGATATGTGTATGCTGCAGGTAGCATACAAAAGCCAAGTATCCCCAGTGCTTAGAACAGCGTTTTATACCTTCATCCCTTACACCAGCCCGGCCCCTGCACTAGTTGCCCATACAAACTGCAGAGTCCCTAAATCATTTGGATCCCAAATCCCCAAATTAACTGCCCCCTCCCCTTTATACCAAGTCTCTGTAGAGATTTGCATGAAAATGTAATTTTTTGAATAAAACCAACCACCTAGGATTGATTTTTTATGGAAATTGGTTAGTTCGTGGGGGGAGAAGGATGTAGTTGGTCCTGAGTAAAAGAAGGTTCTGGAAAGGATAAATGGTATCCTGTATCCTCTAAGATACTAGATGCTGCTGTAAGTGGTAACTATAGTGACCATCTGCTGAGTGTGTACAATTTTTTAAAAAATCACTGAGGGGGGAAAAAAGATATAGTTTGGTACTGTGTCACCTACAAAGTGAAGTATAGAATAAAAGGGAAACTGCCACTCATTCTTCAGGAGTACACATTGGCCACTGTCCTTTGTCCCTCACCTCTATTCCTAATGGATGTTTAAATCAAATCTAAGGGGAAGTGCATTCTCTCCTAGCTTCTGTCTGACCACACCTCTGGTGAGCCTTTCTATATCTTTTGGAGAATCAGGAGGCTTCTGCTGATACCTTATTAATAAGGCTGAGCAAACTGTCCAGATAAGAGTCACCTCTGGAAAACTTTCTCTGACAGTGCATGCTAGTGGAGAGGTGATGGTAATCTGGCTTGTTGTCCTGATTGTCTCTTTGTTTAATGAAAACAAGGATAGTTATGCTAACAGTGCTTACTGTCAGTTTTTGCTGATTCGGTTTTCAAGTAGCTCTGACATACATATAGCCATTATCCCCATTTTATARATGAGAAACTCATTGCTCACATCCAATTTAAGTGGAGTTAAATACTTAGGTTCAAGTGGTAGGGCATGGACTTGAACCTAAGTGATTTACCTCCAGAGTCTATTTTCATGTTACCATATCCTGCTGAATTTGAATCTTTTCCATTACTTTCCTGTTGGCTAAGTTTTTGGAAAGCAGTTGGAATTTGGGTCAGTAGTTGATTTTTTTTTAATATGTCATTTCTTAGCATCCCAGTCTCATCCCCAGTATGTTGCCTATGTATGTCTTCAACTCAGATAAGTTATTAAGAAAAAATAAGACAATTTGAAGGTATGAAAAAAATATCCACTTATTTTACAATCTATTTTCATGTTAAAAGAAGCCCTCTTAATTAGGATTTTACAAGCTTGTTTCCATCAAACATAAGAAATTTGTATGCAGAGGATCATATAAGAAACTCCCTTGTAATTTTTTTTTTTATATTTATTTTTTTTATTTTTTTTTTTAGTTCTTGGAGGACACAACATCTTTGTTGGTATGTGGTGCTGGGGATCGAACCCGGGCCGCACGCATGCCAGGCGARCGCGCTACCGCTTGAGCCACATCCCCAGCCCCCCTTGTAATTTTTTGATGTGAACATTTTCAGCTACAAACCTCATGCAATGAGGTTAATTGTTATAATTAGTAATAGTACTACTACTAGAAGCTAATAACTTTGACAGCCTACTGCAAGCCAGGTGTTTTGCCCACGTACATGTAAATGTGTCTTAATCCCTGCAGCAGCCTTGGATACCATTATTCATTTTTCAGGTTGGAGAAACTGAGGCACATAAAAGTTAAGTAACTTGTCTAAGTYCACTTAGGGCCAGGATTTGGATCCAGGCTGACTGACGCCTGTGTTCCACTCTTCACTATCACACTGTGCCAGTTAGTATTTTAGAGTAGAGTCAAATATAGTTTGCAGACAGCTGATTCCTACTAGACTCAGACATTTCTAGATTTTACAGCTCTGCTAATTGTGAGATGAGGAAGAGTAGGTGGGAATTAAGTTTCCTTTTCTGGTGGATAATATTGACTTTCACATATTAAGGAAGGTATTATTATATTATTAATGCATCCTTATGCCAACCTGCAGGTGCTGATGGGTGCCCTGCAAACTGCCTCAAAGAAAGGTAGAGTAGGCTCCCTTTATGTTAAGTGGCTGAGGAAGATAATACACAATTTGTTGACTGTATAGTCAAAGGAAAGATAAATGGAGTCTGGCCCAGTGGGCTCCCCTCCCTCTCAACCAATAAAAGTGGTTTTGCCATTTTTTAAGTCACTAAATTGATCCAGTATAAGAATTTAACTGGAACAATGAGAATTTTATTTAGAATGTAATGTACTTGAGGGAAGAGGATAAGGTGAGTGACAGAAAAGAGGAAGCCTATAAAGCCATCTTGATGGGTATTACTTCCAAGGTCAGAAAGGGGACAGAAATGAAGTAGAACAGGCTGGATGGGAATGGGTTATATACATGCATCCTCTGAGTGAGGTAGCCACTGCTCAGTCCCAGCTGATTGTGATAGTAAGGGAAGTAAGACCTCAAAGTCTTCCAGAAAATAAGTCATGTCCTCAAAGTCTTCCAGAAAAGCTAGAAATTCAATTTTTCTTATAAAGATATCCCAATTTTGTTCATGAGTCTTCTCTGAACTTCAGTGGCTTTGTCTGTGAAAGACAATGATCCCTCCCAAGTTTATAGGATGAGTGAAAATTGATAGGTGTAGRTATGTCAGGTGTCCACCAGAGTGCTTAACAGTCTCCCTCAAGTCCATAGTTGGTGAAGCATGTCCATTAAAAGACCTCAGTGCCCAAGAACAGAAGTTACTGCACATCTGTCTTCATTGTCAGATGAGGAGGATTGGTCTATGTCACCACCTTTGTATATTTTAGGATGCTCCTAACCTTCATTCCCACAACCTAGTTTCCTTTCCCCCTGGATCCTTCTCTTGAGGGTCTATCACCTCAAGCTCAAGCAAATTGGAGTTCTCTGCCTATCCTACCTGTCCTTTCCAGTGCCCACCATGTGAGTACCTCCCAGTTATCTGGTTCTCAAACATTCCTTCCTTGTGATCCCCTTGCTGGGCTTAATGGGTGCTATCTCAGTATAAGATATGACCTGAATTAAAAATATTTTCTATAAAGAGCCAGGTGATAAATATTTTACCCATTGCAGGGTGTGTAGTCATAGCCACTCAGTTCAATCATTGTGTCACAAAAACAATCACGACAATCCATAAACAGACCTTTTGAAGAGTTTTACCAAATAGATATATATTCCTAAGCACTATGTGGTTTTAGTTTTAAAATTCTCTGAAAAATTATCTTGTGCTATCTAGACTTCATGCAAGATTTTAATCTATGTTGATGTGAGGAGTTGGGGTTCATTGTGCATTATTCATATGCCACTGAGTGAACACACCAGAATTTATACATTCTTTTCTCAGTGAGCATTTGCAGTATCCCAGTTTCTTGCTGTTTTTAACAATGCTGCAAAGAATATTTCTTGTCTGTGTCTTTCAGTGTACATGTGTACATAGTTCTCTTGGGCACTTCTGACCACATCAGACAGCTATGTCTGTTCAGAACTTATCATACTACATGCACCTCCTAAGGACAGTGTGACCCAGGGTGAATTAGCCAGTTCCATGCTAGAGTCTGCCAGGCTCTGCAGCTCCTAAATCTCTTCCTTGTTCCTTACCAATGCCTTTCTCCCCCAGATTCAACTGGCATGCTGGGCCGTATCATCTTTGCCTGGTGGAAGGGGTGAGTTTCTCTTCCTAGGCCACAGACCTAAAGCAATACTCCCTAGTTGTGGTAGTCATGATAGTAATAATGTCACCTTCAATGATGATTGCAAAGGTCAATGCAATAGTCTGAATGTGCTTAGCACATTGCATGGCACATAATGAGGACTCAACTGTGTCCCATAAGCACTGTATATATTTCTCGAATCCTTATAACAACTTTATAGGATAGGATTGAATGTGTACATTTTAAAGATGTGAATCATGCCTAGAAGAGGCTTGTTACCTAAGCCATATGATCTGTATTAGTGAAATAGGATTTGAACCCAAAGCGTGTACTCTTTCAATGGTATCAACTGRTTTATTGGGCAGAACCCCCGGTCAGGCACATATATTCAGAAGTTCCACTCTGTACTTGCTGTATACCCTACCCAAGAATGCTCTCCCTTTTCCTCCAGGAGATTTCAAATTAAGGTTTGGGACTAATGCTGTAAATTCTGAACTGGCCTGAGGGCTGCAGCATTTCCTGCCACTGGGATTTTAGAGAAACGGTATCCAGGTGTTTATGCACAGGCCTGGGACACAAGGACAGAAGAGGTAGCCATCTGTGGTGTCATATAACAGAAATATCCTCTATGTATGTTAGACCCCAGCTCTTTTCTTGGCCTTTCTTCCATCTCCACCCACTGTGGATGTGATCCAAGAGAATTTGTATCAGATATCAGTAACATGCAGAATTATACTGAATTTAGTGTTTACCAATTTAAAATATATGGACTTTTTTTCTGGATATCCTCAATGAAGCAGGAAGGAAAGAGGTGAAGAACCCAGGAACAGCCTCACTCAAAGGATGGCAAAGGTTAGGGGTCAGCCACAAAACAGATTTTTCCCTTAGTAAGTCATGGATTAGTAAGGGGAAAACAGTTGCCTGAAGGTTCTCCCACTTAATGGTCACATTTTAGGCAGCAGTGACAAAATATGAGAACAGATGTGTGGCTAGAGGTATGTGTTTTCCCTGAACTCTTTAGATCTTGTCATGGCCTAGGACTCCCCACACTGCCCACAGGATGTTTTTTCTCCTTTTTCTCCTTCATTTTAAATTGCAACAACATTTTATTCCCTGCAGGGGCAAACTGGACTGTAATGCAAAGCAGTGGAGGTGAGGAAAGGTCTGGGACAGAGAGGAGGAGTCGTCTTCTACTATGAAGGTCTCTTGTCTCTGACTTCTAACCTCTGATCCTTCTACCAGGCTTTTTGCTGACATTCTCAACGATTTAGCCATGTTCCTCGAGATTATGGCTCCCATTTACCCAATCTGTTTCACCATGACCGTCAGCACCAGCAACCTGGCCAAGGTATCCACCTCTAGGGCACCCCTTTGCCCAAGATCCATCTGCCTTGGTAGTGCTCTGTGTGGGCTCATCTGGGCCTGTGCTCAAGGTATTTCTAAGAGAATAGAAAGTTAAGATGTTTCTACTCAGACCCAGCCAAGTTTTCTGATCTGTCTCTAGCCAGATAGCCCTACTCAGTCATCAGTCCAAGGCAGGTTCAGAACCACTGGTGAGGGAGCTCTAAGCTGAGGGGAAGTACTAGTCTTCTATCAACATTTGGAGACAAGCTTCCTGGCCATTTTCCATCCTTTGAGTAAAATATCTATTGAGGGCTGGGGTTGTGGCTCAGTGGTAGAGTGCTCACCTAGCACACATGAGGCACTGGGTTCTATCCTCAGCACCACATAAAATAAAATAAAGGTATTGTGTCCACCTACAACTAAAAATATATATATTAAAAAATCTATTGAACATTTGCTGTGTGTTTGGCATCTAAAAGGGGCTAAATATATAGTGAATATAAACATAAAGTGAATGAAGGTGATGAGAGGTCAGGGCCTCCGGTATAGGTTTTGAATTATCCTGAAAGACTAAAGAGGGCTTAACTGGGACAGAAAGAGTTGAGATGTTACAGGCAGGCATAAAGTTGGAAACCAGACTTGTCTTGGTTGCTTAGCAAGATGGAGGATGTAGCCAAAGTAGGAGTTGGAGGTTGGGGAATATCTGAGCCAAGAATGATCTTTAAGCTTCCGTCTTGAAGAAGGAAATTGAGGTTCCTGGGGCCAGGTTCACAGGGAGATATTGGCAGGCAGGACTTTAGTTTTCTCCTAGAATAGTACAGGAAAGGTGTACCTAGGAAGAGTGCAGGGTGAGAACTGGATACCAGGGCAGCCTTCAGTGCTTTGCTGGGGGGTCACTTCAGGATTTGTTTTCTCAAACTGGTATGAGTCATTTACTTGGTTTACCCACAGAAAGGGTGACCTTCATTCTTTCCTTTCCCCACCCAGTGCATTGTGAGTGTGGCTGGTGGGGCCACTCGAGCTGCACTGACTGTGCACCAGGCTCGGAGAAACAACATGGCCGATGTATCAGCCAAGGATAGCAGCCAGGTAAGCAACCAGGATTGGAGGGACTGGGGAGGGCAGGGGAGAAGTCAGACCAGAGCACAAGTTGGGAGTATGGAGAGAAGTACCTGAGTGCCCTTGGGAAGGGAACAGATGGAAGACACCAAGGAAGTGTTGCCTACTGTGACTGTCAGGATACACACACACACACACACACACACACACAGGTCTGAGGACACCACTCTGGTGTCAACAAAGCCAAACTGATCTCGGCCCTTGCCCATTGCCTTTATGACTAAGATTGAGCCCTCACCCTTGCTTTCTAGGCCATATCCCACCTCAGGAGCTGGATGTTCTGATCACAGGAGGTCCAGCATACAAAGACACTTGGCAAGTCAAAATGTACTCAACATGGGGCTGTTAGGATCACAAACCAGAGACCTCCACTTAGCAGTTTAGCAGGCCCTGACCAACGAAGCCTGGAGAAGGGGGATAGGGACATTCTTAAAACTGAATCCTGTAGGTATTAGATTTTCCCCAAACTCCTGAGTTCAGTGCTCATGTGCATTGTATCATTTAACTCTCAAACACCCTCTAAGGTAGATACTTTTATTATCCCTGTCTTAACAGATGACAAAAATAAGGCCGAGGGAGGCTCCAGAGATGTGAGGTGGTTTTCTTTTGACACTGAAGCAATTTAAGAACTTCTTTTCTATCCAGTCCTACTTTCCTGCCTTCTCCCATATTGTTTTGTTCAATAATACTAACACAAACTAACATGTTTAAAGCACTAATCACATGCCAAGTATTTCCTTTCTAAAAACTCCTTAAATCCTTAGTGTTATTTTGTAGTAAATATTCATTAGGACCATTGTACAGATGAGGAAGTAAAGAATATAGAGGTCCAATCCATGTAAGTGCCCCTAGGCAAGTCCTTTCTCTCAAGAAATGGTTGAACTAGTTCTTCTGTAGGGTCTCTTCCAGTTCTAATTCTACAAGGTTGTTAAAAGTGGAAAAAATAAATATTGGGCCCTTCTCTTTAGGATCACTCAGCTTCTTGACCTGGTCTCTCACTGGCTCCCAGCCCTGCCTCATCCCAAGCAATTTTTTTCCAAGGTTCCAGGGCTTCCTCAGTGAGGCAGTAATACACACGGGCAACATGCACCAGGTTATAGGTCCACAGCAGACCCTGATTCCTGATGATGTTGTTTTGTTGCCACTCCATGTAGCTACTAGAAATGACTGTTTTGCCTATAAAAGAGGAGTTTCCTCTGTTCCTGTACTCCAAGGGCCCTGATCCCCCATGCACACCCTTCATTCCACAGCCCACACCTTACCAGGAAGTCTAGATAAAAAGAGCCCTCCAGCTTCTGCACCCTTTGTGCCAGGATCAACTCTCCCTGGAACCCCAGCTAGTCAGGAACACCAATCCAGACTCCTCCTCCTCCCTCATGATGATTTGGAGTCAGGCAGTCTGGGATCTTTTCACATATGGTATCCTCCATCTGGCCATCAGCATATTCTGATAACATGAATTCACAAGGGAAGAGGTTTGGGCCCTTTTGTTCCTTTCCTGCAGTGTGGTTTCCTGACCCTTTTGCAGATTTGTCAGTTATCGCATACCAAGAAATTTGAGAGCCTTTTTAAATGACTATTTAAAAGTAGTTCTTCACAAAGCAGGGAGTGCCTAAGTATGGATGATTTGCAAACAAAGAAGACATGTTCCAGGGCAGTTCTAAGGGTATTGAATGTACATGGGCAGAGTAGTAGCTGTTCAGATTTACTCACCAAAAATGTTAGAAATTTACTCAGTACCCCCATCAGAGTAGGAAGGCATGCAGTGAAAGTTACTTAAAACTGGAAGTCTGGCCTGGATGGGAGCCTTCCAACTCCTGACATCTCTGCCATTTTCCAGGAGACGCTGGTGAACCTAGCAGGGCTCCTGGTCAGCCTCTTGATGCTTCCTCTGGTGTCAGATTGCCCTAGGTAAGCCAGGAGCAAGACTGGGGAGCAGATGCCCAACTGGGTCTCTACCCCCATTGGCCTTTTCACTCTGTTGCCCCAGCCTCAGCCTTGGATGTTTCTTCCTCCTCACTACTCTCCACATCTATGCCAACTACCGGGCAGTCCGTGCCCTTGTCATAGAGACTTTGAATGAAAGCCGGCTTCAGCTGGTCCTGAAGCACTTCCTTCAGAGGGGAGAGGTACTTGACCCCACTTCAGCCAATCAGATGGAGCCATTGTGGACAGGTGACCCAACCCTTTGGTCTCAAAATCAGTGTTTCCCAGCCTCTCCCCATGCCTGGGAATACTAACTCCAGCTTCCCGCAGGTTTCTGGCCATCTCTGTCTCTTTCCCTGGGGGTTCCATTGCACCGCCTGATCTCCAGGTGAGTTGCCCAGATATCCCACTCAATGCTGCTTCTTCCCACAATTCCCAGACATGGAATTGCCTCTCCTCATCAGGTTCCACTTTGCTATTCTATGTTTTTCATTTTCACTGAACAGACTTGAGGGTCAGCGTGAGATCTTGGGAGCAGCAGGGTATATAATATAGTATATAAAGGAAATACGGTTTATTGAATGAAGGAAAGCTGGTGGGAAAATGGGTGATTTCATATAGGAAGAAAGGAAGGATGGATCTGGGGTGTATAGGTTATGGCTAAGGAATAGATGGGAAGTGAGTGAAAGACAGATAAAGTGTGGACAGTTATGTGAAGGACCCACCCTTAACAGTTTGACCAGATGAGGACGCCTCCCTTCACTTTCCCCTCCCCCCACTGCATTCCTCTCTCCACCAGTGTCTTTGAGCTGCAGCAGCTGGTTGAGGGGCAACAAGAACCCTACCTCCTTTGCTGGAACCAGTCACGAAGTGAGTGTGCCACATTCTCCTAGCCTTAAACCCACCTTCATTACTCCTCTGTGGACAGTAGAGACAGCCTGTGTCTTTGAGGGCACCCTAAACTAAAACTTTGATGCATTCAATTTATAACTACATGCCCCTATGAAATTAATTTTATCACTCTGTAAAATGGAGCCATAGTAGTTGCCTTATTACCTTTAGCATTTTCCTGAAAGTCAAATAAGRTGATGACATAAAAACACTTTGTATATTGCCATGCACTCAAATAAGTTTATGGTCTTTGGCTATCCCTGGGGAATCATTCTTTCTCCCATCCTGAGTCACCTCTTGGAGAAACAAGTCCTCGAGATTGCTGATATGTTGATATGTGTGTTAAAAGGTGTTAATCCTCACTAGCAAAATAAACCTACTTCAGTGGGCTGCTGTGAAATTGCATTGTGAATTGAGCATTTCAGTTTGACAATTGGGAAGCAACAGGAGATGTAGTCAGATTGGGAAAGGGTGGGAAGAGAGCCTTCCATATTTGGTTAAGGCCTCTGGAGAAACACAGGTGAAGCGTAAGTGGTGTAGGRTTAAGGGCATTTGGGTCGGTGGCCCTTCCCTAATACCCATCTTTCCCCTGGGTCTCTCCAGACCAAGTACAGGTAGTTCTGAGTCAGATGGCAGGCCCTGAGACAATCCTAAGGGCTGCCACACATGGGCTGGTACTTGGAGCCCTTCAAGAAGATGGACCACTTCCTGAAGAGCTGGAAGAGCTAAGAAACCGAGTGCGGGCAGGTAAGCACCTCATGGTCTAGACTACTGATGACTCAGAGAGGGGTGGAACATCTGTCCTGGTAAGGTATGAGAGCTGGTTCTGCATCCCACCCCAGGTGCTGAGAAAGATAGCTGGGTCATCATCAGAGAGACACATCAAGTGTTGAACAAGCTGTTCCCAAAGTTCTTGAAAGGTAACATTGACCCTGTAGCTTCTTAGACCCTAAAGCCCTCTCCTGTGGTGCTTGCCTATCCTTACCCCATGCTTTTTACCTGGGACATAAAAGACCTGACTTCTCTCTGTAATCTTAAATCTGGGAATCAGTTTCCCTATCGATAAGATAAGGAAGTTAGGATGTCTCTGAGGCTGTGTTGATGTCGAATGTCTGTGTAATCCCAGTTGGAATTTAGGAAACAGGGGAGAGAAGAGGGCTCACCTTAACTTATGATGTCCTTTTATCTAGGACTTACTCCATCCTGCCCCTTTTCCATGTGCTGTCTCTGAATTCTGCTGCAACCAGATAAGGTTTCAGCCTCATTTCAACCTCCCCCAGCAGAGGAGCCCAAGTAGTGCATAGAGTCTGCATCTGGCTGTGCCTCTCCTTACCCACCTTCCAAGGGTCAGCCCATATTCTCCTCCCACCATTCGTAGCATCATCCTGTGACCTTTCCCCAGGATTACAGACAGCTGGCTGGAAGACTGAGAAGCACCAGCTAGAAGTGGATGAGTGGAGGGCCACGTGGTTCCTGTCTCCAGAAAAGAAGGTCTTGTGAGCAGTCCAGATGAAGGCCCAGGGCCCAGGACAGGAGCATGGAGCAAGGACACTTAGACCACAACAGGACATAGGAAAGGCAACTTTATTTTTGCTTTAGGTGAATTGCTATGGCAGGTTGGCCAAGGCCTCATAGGAAGTGACTGCCAATCAGATGGACTGGACCCCAGGTAGAGATAAGGCAGGAAGAACGAAGACCTTCCTGCCTTATCTCTTATTTTGCCCCTTCTCCTCCCTTCCCTGGGAACTACTATAGATTCTCCATCCCCAATTATTGTGAGGATGAGCCCTACCCTAGTTATGGCTCATGGTATCYAACACATTTGATGTTATGCATAAAAACCCCAGAAGAATGTGGCCACAGTCATCATAAGAAGGGCATTGAGGTTGACTATACGAGCCCAACTTGGGTCCTCACTGATATCCTCCAGCTGYCTGGCTGCTGCAGCCACCTCCTCCTGGGTAGGGGGTGGAGGACCACCTGCACGACCCCTACTCATTCCACAGAACCAGAGCAGGCACTGGCGGAATAAACCTGGTGCCACGGACTGAGGTTCTAAGAGAAATTGAGGTACTACAGTTAGTTTGAAGGAAATTCGCCCCCCAAGTTCCCAGGGCCCACCTCCCTAGGCAATGCCTTACCCTCCATCTCCACTGCATGCTCTGGACACCCATTCTGTACAGGGGGAGAGGTTGGACCTTCTAGCTCATCAGCATCCAGGTCCTCTCGTTCCTCCTTGCTGTGCCGGAGACTGAAAACCAGGCGATGGAGCTGGGAAGGGGTGGGAACAGAGACCAAGTGGGAGTTTCATTCTCCCACTTCTGTCCCTAAGGCCTCTTGCTACAGTGGCATACCAGCCTTGTCACTGCCCTCCCTCACACACCCTTGTCCAGTCTACATATCTAACCCAGGCTTAGCTCACTCAAACCCTAAGCTGCTCAGCTAGGTACTTAAAACCATTGACCTTGCTCACCCCCTGCTTCTACACGCCAAGTCTCCTGTACCCACCCAGAACTGTAGTACTATAGACTGGTCTTATAGTTCTGTTCACAGTGTTCCTTTCCTATGGGCATTTGCTCACAGTTTTCCTGCTGCTGAGGAAACTTTCCCGTCCTTGCAGGCCCAGCCCTTTTGTCTTGCCTGCCTCAATCAGCCCTGCTCTGGAGTACCTGCCTTGGTTCAGCATAAGACCAAACTCTTACAAGATGATACTCTGTCCCTCTCAGCTACTAGTTGTATTCTGCATTTGAGTTCCAAAGGCCATACCCAGAATTGGCTTTGGGAAACTTTAATTGCCAACCCTCCAAAATGTTTAGCTCACCCTCCCCCCATTACTTCAAATAAATATCATTTAAATTAAAATGTGCTTGCTCTATAAATGCAACTTCAAACTGGTCTCCCAGCCAGCTCCTACTAATCCTTAGCATAGAAATTCAGGTCCTCCCCCACTGGGTATTTCTTGAATCAGACTGACAGATGGGGATGAAGATGGTTCTGGCTCAGACAGTGCAAGTCTGGTCACCCAGCTTTCCAGAGGCCAACACTTACATGCTTTTGAGGAATAGGCTCAGTGCACAGGGAGACTATGAGAATGAGGAGGCCAGAGCAGACGAAGAGCATGATGGCAAAGTACAGGTAGTGCACCCGGCAAATGAGTGCTGGGCATGCTGAGGGTCTCACACAGCTGCCAGACCCAAAGGAGAACTCAGGAATAAGGCGTGCCAGGCCCATCAGCAGGCCTCCAATCAGTCCCCAGAAGGCACCCTGTGGAAGAAACATCATTAGCCTGCTCAGGATGCCCAAGCCCTGCCCCACATTCACAAGTACACTGCTTACCTTCTCATTAACACGGGGCACAAAGAGGGCAAGCACAAAGACTGCAGATACAGGTGGTGCCAAGTAGCTGGAGACTGACTGGATATAATCGAAGAGCTGCCCGCCCTGTGCTGCCTGCACTACTGGTAGCCAGGCCACTGACACTGCCACAATGAACACTACCCAGATCCTGCAGTTGGGAGCCATCAAAAGATTTTTACCCAGTTCCCTCCTGTCTCCCATAACCTTGCAGGTGCTTTATGCCCCCACCCCAGGCTCATTTGTGGGGCAGGAGTTGGGGGAGGGTAGAGGGAACCTAGGCCGCACCGTCCAACTATCAGCAACTCCCCTTCGCCTGCTTGAGGCCGCAAGCGTGTATAGATGTCCATGGTGAAAAGTGTGCTACTGCTGTTAAAGATTGACGCCAGCGAGGACATGAGTGCAGCCAGCATGACAGCCAACATAAGTCCACGAAGACCTGTGCATCAACAGGAGCTGTGAGGATGGGGCTTCCAGGGTGTCGCAAGGTGGGTGCAGGCTTGGCAAGGAGTGACCCTTTACATTGGCAGTCTCCTGGCCTCCCTGCACATGTGGGCAGGGAGCATCCCAGGCACCTGTCCTCACCATTGGGCATGAGTTTCACAACAAGCCGTGGGTAGGCGATGTTGGAGCAGCCCACCTCAGTCCCACATATGCGTTTACACACCTCCGGTACCACACAGGCTACTTCATCTGCAAAAAGAAGTCACAACAGGCTAGGACAGAGAATCTGCCTCCCTAGTAGATACTGGGAATACCAGCAGAGGAGAGAGATGGGGTCCCTGGTGGAAGGTAGGACTGGGATACTGGATTCCCAAAATTTAAAAAAGTAGCAAGAAATAGGACATAGGCACTTGAATCCTTGCATAAGAAGGGAGCTGGATGGGGCACAGACTGTTGGGCAGGACAGGAATGCAGATATTACCTGGGTAAAGAATGCGACTGATCATGCCTGGCATGACCATGAGAAACATGGGCAAAAGCTTCAGGTAGCCGCATAAGATGCAGCCCGCCTTGATGTGGGTCAGGTTCTTTCCAGCCAAACAGCGCTGCACTATGACCTATGAGAGGTGCATTCAACTACCATGTACTGTCCCCACACCCCACCCCTCAGGCCTTGCCACCCYCTCCCAGCTCTAATTTGCACCCTGCTTCTGGTTCTGAGATGCCCCTTGTAGGTTTCCATCTTCAGATCCTGCCACCTGGTTCTGTCTTAGCTCCACCAGGGCATGGCTCTCACCCCATCAAACCATGCCTTCTACATAATTCCAGGGGCAGAGGTGAGGTGTGAGGGCATGGGGTTAGGCACCACCCATCTCAGCTCTGCTCAGGCATTTAGGATTCTACCCCAAATCCACTTCAGTTCATGCCCTGATCTCACACCTGGTCACTGCACCAGTACCAGCCTGAGACGATGGTAAGCCCCACGAGCAGTGCAGGCCAAGGCAAGTCCCCTGTCACAGGGTCCCGGAGCAGGTGGTAAGAGTCGGGCCGTGGCTGATAGCAGGAGCTGGAGATGTTGCCCACAGCCGGATCCTTGGACACCGTCAACGAAGTCATTGCTCCCAGGTATTTGTCGAAGAGCCCTGAATAGCCACCCACCTCGTGGAAAGCTGTGCAGACAAGGCCATCAGGGGACTAACACCAATACAAATATCATCCTTAGGACCCACATACTAGTGACTTGCAATATCCTGTCCCTGATTCTGGGTTGAGATCTCCATGCCCCTCCCCCATTGGCTGAGCCCCATACCGTAACCTGAGAGAACGATGGCACCCCCCAGAATGACGAAGGTCTGCACAGTATCCGTGTACATCAGTGCTGCCAGTCCTCCTGCAACAGGCCTGAATTAGTGGAGACTGCCCAGCTCCTGATTCCTAGCATATACGGTGTCTTTTTGAGAATTTGACAAGGAACCCCTCTCTGAAGAATATATCTCAAAATGATGGCCCATTCTCCAAGCTCATGCACTAGAGTACAGAGAAGCAGAGCTTGGACCAAGCAGAGGGTGGCTGAGTTTTAGGGCCCACTGATGCACTTCTTGGAAAAGCACCCACATGCAGTATCCCAGCTATAGATCCCTCTTGGCTGTTTTCTTGTTTAGGTAGTAAAAGGGGGTGGTTCTCTAAGGTCTAATTCTGTTCCATCCCATCCCCAGAGATTGCCTGAGAAGCCTGCCTTAGCACCAGACACCACCTACTTTATTCTGTTTCTGACCTTGGTCTCCACCCTGGGATCCTCAGAACTGCACTGAGTTTTGCTAGAGGTATTAAAGAATAGCCAAGCCACTATGTCCATTCAAGAAGAGCAAGAGCTGCAAAATTTTCACTTATCCTCAGTCCCCACTCTTAAGCCCAGCACCAACTAGGCACCCAAACCTCCAGGCCAAATCCAAGGGACAGAAGGGACAGAATATGAGCTTGTTTTCCAAAGAGTTAGTTCCTTCTGACTGGACCACATCACACTTCCAAACCTCTTTGTCCCACTTTCCTCTAGTGGCTTTCCTAAACCCCAACCACAGTTCCCAGCACATTTTAAAGCCAATTCCCAACCCCATGCCCACTCCACCTAAGGCCTTGATGTAACTACCTGTCACAGTGTAAATCATGGTGATACCCAAGAGGGCAATGACAGAAGCATAGATGTTCCAGCCCAGAGCTTGCTGAATGAATACTGCACCGGAGAACATGTCCACCTTGGGGAAGAAGAGCAAGCATACAGGTCAGGACCCAGGGGCAAGAGCAATGACCAAGTTCACCTCCTGCCCAGGCCACTGTTTTATGTGGCCAAACCTTAAAGGTTCCCTCTTTTTTCAAAGCCCCGGCCTTCTCAGGTCCTACCCAGTGTGGTCCCAGCCCCTGAAACCTATTCCTTTCAGACCCCGCCCCTATCATGATTCTTAAAATGATTTCTCCTAGGTCCCGCACCCTCCTGAGATCTGTAAAGACCTCCACTAGGTGGCCCCGCCYTTCTAGGAGCTAGTACTGCCCGCCACACATGCGCACCGAAATCTTGGTGAAGATGTACAGAAATAGTGACAGCACAGACAGGTAGAGGCGGATACGATGGCCACCGAAGCGCTTGCGCAGATACTGCGGCATCGTAATGACACCTGCGGTCAGGTACACAGGAGCGAAGACCCAGCCGAGCAGCAGCACCACGAACAGCGCCTGTGGGTGCAGCGTGACAGTTAAGGGTGACTCCATGTCTAGCATCCTGTCATGAGTCTCGCCTCGCCCCTAAAGGACCTGAGAGACCTCTTCCAGAACAAGAAGGTCCCAGGAAGGTCTGCACCTGGGGCCCAGAGGACAACTGCAAAAGATGACCTTCGACCCTAGGCATTAAG